TTGGGACTAATCCCAGGATGTAGGACCTGAAGACAACGCTTACTATACACCCGTCCCCCAAAGGTCCCTGTATTAAAAGCTTTGTTTCTAACATGGGATGCTGGGAAGCAGTGGGACCCAGTGGGAAGTGTTCCATACATTGAAAGCACATCCTCAAAAGGAAGGGGGGGGGGTGGAGAGATGGCTCAGTAGTTAAGACCATTAGCTGTTCTTCCAAAGGACCCACATTGTGGGTCACAGCCATTTTGTAAATCCTATCCTAAGGACCTGAAGCCTTCTTCTGATCTTTATGGGCATTGCATACACATGGCACACATGCAGGCAAATCACCTATACACATGCATATAAATAAATGAATAAATAATAAATAAATTTTAAATTTAAAAATTACATTTTTAAAAGGGAGAGAGAGAAATTGCAGACCTTTTTTTGTTTTGTTTTGCAACAACTATAACGTCAGTGGCTTTGTCCTCCCACATGTTCCTGCTCTCATGGGCTACCTTACCATAGGCCACAAAGCACTGGGCCAAGAAATGAAGGGCCAAAAGCTCTAAAACAGTGGGCCTAGATAACCCTTTTATCCTTCTAAATTCACTCTCAGGTATTCATTCAGTGATGGAAAGCTAAGTGACAGAATTCCAAGAAAAGAGCCCAACTGCAGTGCAGCTCAAGTTCTGCAATCCCCTTCTTTCCAGTGAGCCCTTTAGTGATTCGTTTTAGGTTTTCTTTTTCTTCTCTCTCTCTCTCTCTCTCTCTCTCTCTCTGTCCCCTCCCCACTCCCCGGAGAAAGGGTTTCTCTCTGTAGCTTTGACTATCCTGGAACTCACTCTGTAGACCAGCCTGACCTCAAACTCAGAGATCTACCTGCCTCTGCTTCTGCCTCCCAAGTGCTGGGATTAAAGGTGTGCACTACCATCAGCCAGCTGATAAAATAATCTAAAGACTCAAATTGTCCCTGAAAAAAGTTAGAAACGAGAAGAATGAAGCGAACAGAGACCAAACTGTCTTTTGCTAAGGGATGTAAACAAGCATTTATTCAGCCTAGATAGGGCGCCAGTGACAAAGCAAAGAAATGAGTCCATTCAAGTTTAGCATATGAATTAATGAGTTTAATGGTTTACTTATAGGAGCTTGGCTGACGTGAAAGTAGCTACCTCACTGAAAAGCCCACCCCAACATGGATGAGATTAAGAAAAGCTGCATCCTTGAGCCTTGCTACGCAGTTCCAAGGCAGCTCCAGAAAAGAAAGAAAATTTTTTTCTCAGTACTTGATTACTGTTTCCATAATCCTAGAGAAAGGCCTTGTGACTCTTGTCTGAGCCTCTTGAACCTCCTATGTTTCAGGAGTTCCCTAAATTTTATACCTTTACTTAGTTTGTTTTATGAGCATCCCTCCTTCCGAAGGAATAACTCAATTCAAACAAACTTGTTATACAAGGCCAACATCAAGTTCTGGAATGGAGCTCACCTGAGAGCAAATGGCAACAGCCATAAAGCAGAACCAACTAAATCATTATCAACAGATAAGTAGATAAAAAAAGAAAAAAAAATCAGCCATAAAAATGCTGGCTGGGGATGGAGCTTAGTTGGTGGAATACATGCCTATCATGTACAAAGCCCTGAGTTCCGCTCTCAGTACTGCACAAACCCTATGTGGTAGCGCACTCCTATAGTCCCAGGTAAGGGCAGGGGCATGGGGAGTTAGAGGATATCAGCTTCTGACTAGAAGGACTATGTCTTGTCTTCTCTTGAAGTGATAGTTAAGTTCGGCAGCTGACATGGTTGTGATGGGTGAGTATACCAGCTAATAAGGCAGAAGCTGCATGCATTGACTTTTCGGACCCCATCTCAGAAAGCAAGCAGCACTTTTAGCAGATTATCTTAATCACAAGCAAGATGCAAACCTACTCAGACTGTAGGGGAAGGGCTAAATTCCACCTCTTGGTGGGAGATGGCAAGGCTCCAGGAGAACATGTGGGATGGAGATTGTTAGGGCTACCTTGGAAGGCTACAATCTGCCACACACCAGTTAAAAGGCAGAGACTGTTGGTCTTAAACAAAGTAGCTATATGGCATTTCAAAGAAATGCTTTTAAGCATAAATACATATTGAAGGTCAAAATATAGAAAAAAGATATACCAAGCAAGCATGGAGCACAGGAAAGCTGGTGTGGTTATAGACATACCAAAAAGAGTAGAATTCAGTATAGAGTGTTAACATGTGGCAGCTCAGTCTCCAAATGGGTGCCCTCGTAATGGGAACAGGGACAGTCTCTGACATGAACTGATTGGCCTGCTGTTTGATCACCTCCCCCTGAGGGGAGAACAGCATTACCAGGCCACAGAGGAGGACAGTGCAGCCAGCCCTGATGAGACCTGATAGACTAGGGTCAGATGGAAGGGGAGGAGGTCCTCCACTATCAGTGGACTGGGGAAGGGGCATGGGAGGAGATTAGGGAGAGAGAGAGGGTGGGATTGGGAGGGAAGGAGGGTGGGGACTACAGCTGGGATACAAAGTGTATAAATTATAATAAATAAAAATACATTAAAGAAAAAAATAAAATTATTGAAAAGAGTGTTAACAGAAGTACAGAAGTAGGAGAAACACTGAAAGGGGAGCAAATAACAGAGATCTAATACCAAATCCCTCAAATACCTGAAGCAAAAGTTGTTAGTGGATGGATACATATAATGCTTGTAACATTTAGGAAGTAGAAGTAAATGGATCTCTGTGAGGTCAAGACCAACCTGATCTAGTAAATTTCAGGGCAACCAGGGCTGTGTAAAGAGACCCTGTCACAAAAACAAACAAAACAAAACAAAAAAGTAAAGCATGGTGTTACAGGCCTGTAACCCCAGCACTTGGGAAGCAGAAGCAAGAGGATCTATACAAGTTTGAAGCTAGCCTAATTTACTAAGGGAGTTCCAGGCTTAATAGGAGACCCTGTTTTTAAAAAGCAAAACCCAAAGGACCCAAAAAGCATAATAAACATACAATATATGTGTGTGTGGTGGTGCATAGATGTGGAGTATGTATTGGGTGATGTGTGCCCCTGTGTAGTACATGTGGGATGGGAAGATCTGAGCTGCATAGCATGTGCGCACAAGAATGGGATGCGGTGTGCATCTTTGCCTCTTAGGAAGGCATCTACATCATGTCTCTTCTGCCCCAAGGGGCTGGGAGGGGCTGGAACCCCACCAGACTCTGGGCAGTAAGAGGAGACCTTGATGACTAGAGAGATGGTTCAGTAGTTAAGAGCACTGGCTACTCTTCTAGAGGTCCTGAGTTCAATTTCCAGCAACCACATGGTGGCTCATAACCATCTATAATGACATCGAGTGCCCTCTTCTGGTATGCAGGTGTACATGCAGATAGAGCACTCATATACATATAAATAAATAAATATATATATATTTTAAAGAGGAGACCTTTACTGTTGGCAAGATCCCTAGGCTTGGGCCTGGTCCATGGTAATTCTATTTTACTTGCTAGCCTTTCAGGTCAAGGGAAGAAGACAAGACATATAGGCAGGCAGGCAGGGAAAAAAAGGATCTTGGCCTTGGGTGAATGAGCAAGCTACAGCCTGGGACTGGACCAAGTTAACTTGAACAGGGAGCTATAGAAGGAAGAAGACTGGCGAATTACAGTTGGCATAAGTCGGGTATGTGTGAGAAAAAGGGCCCTAAACATCTGGATCCTGAAGCTCTCTTCTCTTAAGTTCTTTTACTTGAGAACTTGGCCCCTTGAGGCTGTTGTTTGTGCAAAAATTTATGAGTCTTTGTGTTATGTGAAACATGTATTTGAGGGTGTGTGTATGAAGTGTGTGTGTTGGGGGGAGGGGGGTAAGCCAGGAGATTAGTCTGAAAGCCTCTCCTCCTGGGGCAAGTGGTTTCAGGAAAAGGGTGGGGGTGCTCCTGGCTCCTACAGGTCCCTGAGGAAAAATCTGGATAACACAGAGACACATTTAGCCCTGGCTTAGGATCCCTACCCCACTCCTTCCCTTCCTGTCCCTCATCTCCAGGCAGTGAGTCCTAATTGAAGAGGAGGGGCTTGAATGATCCTGAGAGGTTCTCCCATCCCCAGGCTTTTAGCCCATCATCGCCAGGGGACAAAGACAAAAAAAAAAAAAAAAAAAAAAAAAAAAAAAGGAGCCTTGTTTGGATAAGGGGGGTAAGGATTTAAAGTAGGGTAGTGATTCTGGGTCAGGTCCAGCCATTTTCAGCCTCAGTTTCCCACTTAGGAGATAGGGTACTTCACTATATAGTTTCCCACAGCACTGCCATACCAGATGTTCTAGAAAGGTGGACCTGTGGAGTAGGAGCAGGCAGGATGGAAGTTGCTGCTGAATTAAGCTGGGGACTGGGCTCAATGGGAATGGTCCTGGGGAATGACCAAGGAAGACTGTGGCAGGAAAGGAAATTGGAGGCCCGGAACATACTTCCTGGTGGATGGAGGAAGGAGGCCAGGGGAGGTGCATGAGGGAGAGGAGGGGGAAGTCTCCTGTGCAGGTCATTCCCTGAGGCTAGGTTGGGGCGGGGCTGGCAATGGAGAGCAGATCTGAGCGCTGGGCCACCTTCACGCTGCTGCCCAGCTAGCTGCCCAGAAGCCCAGGAGCTGAAGCAGGTAAGGGGCTACAAAAGGGCTCTGAGACGGAACACTCCGTCTCTCTTGCTTTGTCTTTAGCCCTCCAATGGTCCAAGCTACTCTCGGGGCAGGGACCTTACTGTTTACCTCTGATTCCTAATTACCAGTCTGGCTCTTGTGAGCTGCCTGAATGGAATGGGGCTTTGTGTGTTGTTCTGTCTGACTGTTTTTTTATATTCCCTGTCCAGGCCTAAATACAGGCTGGACCTCCATCGTGTGAACCCACCTGCAGAGAGGCAACTGCCTCCTGACACCTCTATCAGGTGGAGTGACCCTGAACAGTGGGGCTGGCCCCTTGAGTAGAGGCTGAGTTGGCCCCTGTGACAGGTGTGCAAGTCATCTACAGCCACCGCATCATGCTCCTGGTGTCCACCATATCTGGTAAGGTTTCAGCCATTAGGCTCCTGACACCCCTCGCTTTGATGAGCCAGGTGGGCTAGGTGGGTTTGATGAAGCCGAGGAGGCCCTTTTCCTAAAGACACTTTTCTCTTCCTTGTGCACCTGGGTGGGCTGTCAGGAAGGGTTGGTTGAAGGGCAGGCACTTTGCCTTCCAAACCACACACTTACTTAGAAGTCCCCTCTGCTGGGAACCCAGGAAACGGTCAGTAAGACCAAAAAGGGGTTTAAGGTGCCAGCTGCACAGGTCACACCATCCCTGGCATTTGGAACTTCCTTATTCTGGGGAACATACACAGCACTCCACTAACTTGTTCCTTGTCCCTCACCCCTGCCCAGCTGTGCCTGGGCCCCTTTCGACCCCTAGCTCTCCCAGCAACAGCAGCCAGGAGGAGCTACTGGATGACCGAGACCCGCTGCTAGTCCAGGCTGAATTGGCCCTGCTTTCAACCATCTTTGTGGCTGTGGCTTTGAGCAATGGCCTAGTGCTGGGAGCCTTAATACGACGGGGCCGGCGGGGCCGCTGGGCACCCATGCACGTCTTCATCAGTCATTTGTGCCTAGCTGACCTGGCTGTGGCTTTGTTTCAAGTACTGCCCCAGCTGGCTTGGGATGCCACTGACCGTTTCCATGGCCCCGATGCCCTGTGTCGGGCTGTCAAGTACCTGCAGATGGTGGGCATGTATGCCTCCTCCTACATGATCCTGGCCATGACGCTAGACCGCCATCGTGCCATCTGCCGCCCTATGCTGGCATACCGCCATGGAGGTGGGACTCGCTGGAACCGGCCAGTGCTGGTGGCCTGGGCCTTCTCACTCCTTCTCAGCCTGCCTCAGCTCTTCATCTTTGCTCAGCGTGATGTGGGAAATGGCAGTGGGGTATTTGACTGCTGGGCCCGATTTGCAGAGCCCTGGGGCCTTCGTGCCTATGTTACCTGGATTGCTTTGATGGTGTTTGTGGCACCTGCCCTGGGCATTGCTGCCTGCCAGGTTCTTATCTTCCGGGAGATTCATGCCAGTCTGGTGCCAGGGCCATCTGAGAGGACAGGGAGGCGCCGCAGAGGGCACCGGACAGGCAGTCCCAGAGAGGGAGCCCATGTATCAGCAGCCATGGCCAAGACCGTGAGGATGACGCTGGTGATTGTGATTGTCTACGTGCTGTGCTGGGCACCCTTCTTCCTTGTGCAGCTGTGGGCGGCGTGGGACCCAGAGGCTCCTCTAGAAAGTGGGTGTGGGTGTGGCTAAGGCTGGGGTGGGGGAAGGTAAGGGTTTGCCCATACACATCCAAGTATTATACTTGCTACCTTTATGCCCTACCAGTGGGTTCACATGTGGTGCCCCCATGGCTTGCTAGTGTGAGCAAGGGACACTCTGAGTTGCAGCCTGGACTCTCTTCTTCATAGGACCCCCCTTTGTGTTGCTCATGCTGCTGGCTAGCCTTAACAGCTGTACCAACCCCTGGATCTATGCTTCCTTCAGTAGCAGCGTCTCCTCGGAGCTTCGTAGCCTGCTTTGCTGTGCTCAAAGGCATACCATGCCCAGCCTGGGACCTCAAGATGAGTCCTGTGCCACGGCCAGCTCCTCTTTGACCAAGGATACACCCTCCTGAGAAGCCACTGGGTTCTTCCCATCCGAAAGTTCCTTGCAGCTCAGCTGACTGTTTGGGGTCAGCCCTGGGAACATCAAGAGAGTGGTACTTTGGCTATACTTGGCTCTCCCTAGTTCTCACTATCTCCAGGTATGCAAAAAGGAATATTCCAGGACTGTAAGGAAACCCTTAAACTGGCTCCTTTGTGCCAGACATGAGAAGCAACTGGGACAGATGTCTCAATGTCTGGGAGGAGAACAGGCAAAGAGGTTTTTGTGCTTCCTACCCTGGCAAGTACCCTGCAGATGAGGAAGAGTCCCAGGGAGTTAAAGAAGGACCGGGATGGGGCTAGTAGGCCTTCCTGTCATTCCTCCCTTCTGTCTATCTCCCTAATAAAAATTGCAATTCATTTTCCACATGGAAAAACTTTCCTTGGACCAGGTAAATGGTTGGTATAGAGGCTGGAATACAAAGATCCCTACACTCATAGATGTACACCTGGTCAGGAAGGTGAGATATAAAACAACCAAGACTGCATTTTGGGGAGCACATCCCCAGGTGACAATAAATATCTCCATGTCAGAGGTCCCTCTACCCCAAGAGAACTGTTGAAGCTGTTCAACCTTCTGTCTTGGCATCTGGCCTCTAGCAGTACAGGCTCTGGAAGCTGCCTTGCCCCTAACCTGTACAGTCTCCCAAAACAGAGCATAGGCAATTACAACAGAAACCAGCACATGGGTCTTTATGAATCGCTGCCACTTGCTTTTTCCACAGATACAGCCCAAGGCTTCCAAGCAAAGGCACAGAAGGCTTGTCTCCAGCCTCCTTCCTTTGCTACCTCTCAAAGGCCTAGAATATGGCCGAAGTGAGGCGTTAGGCCTGGAGCTGGGGTGGGGCGGGAGGATCACTGGAGGTAACGGGTCTCAGAGTAGCTTGTGAGTTGAATCTGGATCCTGGGGATGGGGGTCTGAGGGGGAAACTGGAGCCCTGGGTCCCCGGGAGAAGACTTTGTTTTTGCTGAAGATGCTGCAGGCCGGGGGCTTCTGGTTTGGGGTTCCTAGACTGGGGGAGGCTGTAGATGATAACCCGTAGACCTGGCGGACAGCTGCCTTTCCCAAGAGCTCCTTAAATACCGAGTCCATGTTCTGCGCCACAGCCTAGCAGAAAAGAAAAACAGGGAGGGCTCAGTAAGTTTCCTCCAATCCCCAAACTGAGCCTTGACTACCTACCATACTGTGGGTAGGCCAGGCCAGGCCAGGCCAGGCTCCCTCTCAGGGGGCCATGGGAGGGACGGCATGAGCTTCTAGGCCACCTCCCCAACTCCATTCCAGCTTCCTTCCTTCAGTCACTTTCAGTGTTGCTTGCGGAACAGTAAGTTCTTGGTCTGATTCCAAAGAAGTGACCCCTTTTAGACTTGGGCCCCTCCTCTTCTCACCCCTACTTTTTCCCTGGCTGACGTCACAGCTTCCATCCATGGCCTCTGGGGGTGTCAACACACTGGAGACTTCTGAGTCAGTGTCTTCCCCTGGGTCTCCCAGCTGTCAGGCTTTAGCTCCTGTGTATTTACCAGCCTGCCCTAGGATCCCTAGGCTTAGGAGCAGGGCCACTCTTCCTAAGAGTCAGCAGCTGCCTTCAGTGATTCCCTGCTCAGTCCATAGGAGGGGCTCAAAAGACCTACTGTATAAAGGGGACTCCCCAAATTGTGGCACTCATCAGAGCCTTGTTTTGAGACTACTTTGTTTCCTCAGCTAGCTATTCTTCCTACTTCCCTACCATCTGTCCTTTCACTTTCCCTGGCTTGCTAAGTACCTAGCCTAGCTCTAGGTGCCAGCCTTGAAGTCTGTCTTGGAGGCACTCGCCTACATCTGGCTTCTCTCTAGCTCAAGAATGTTGTGAGTCCCATACCACAGCTGAGTTGAAGATCTGCCCTCTCATCTCTGCCTCTGTGCCCCTGTACCTCTCCCTCCCACCCCATCTTCCCCCCCTTGTCCTCATGTCCCTCCCTAGATTGTGACTTGACTTGCTTGTCTAGTACCAAGGAGACTATTGGACTGGGACCAAGGAGAGTTGCAATGGGTCTCACCTTGGGGAGGGCAGAGACCATGTAGAAGAGGCGCCCCCTGTTGGCCCTATAGCCAGTCCTGGCTTTTACCTTATCCATTTCCACATGTTGCTCAGGAGAGGTGGGGACCAAACAGTGTCGCCTGTGCCCAGAGGGACCCATAGCCTCAGGCGGGGTGCGTGGTTCCAGCCTACAAAGCACAGATAGGAAGATTGGCAATGGGCCTGTGGAATCCTTGATCTAAGCTGGCAGTGCCCATTTTAGGTACGGCCAAGGAAAGAAGTGAGCATCCATGGTCCCCAAACTCCTTTAGAAGCTCTTCCAGTCACAAAAATGCTGACTCAATTCTGTCCACACTTAGTGTCCTTTATGTAGCAACTCATTCTATCCCATGTGGCCAAAGCCTGAGCCCACACCCTCAAACTTAACAGTGGAGGTAGCCTCTGGCCCATGGTGCCTGCTGCTTCTCACAGCACACGAAGCAAATAGAACTCTCTGAGGGGTCTTCCCAAAGGCCTGTCTTCTCCTGGCTCACTGATTGGTAAGCTCCAAGCTCAGGAAGCCCTCTGGATGGCTCACAGATTCCCCTGTGGCTTGAAGTCCTGGACTAGCCAGCTGATTCTCATCCCTGGGCAAGAATAAGACTGGCATGCTCTGAACTCTTTAGCAGCTGGAGCTGGAGGCCAATGGGCCCTGCCCTAATCAAAGGAGTTGAGAATGATTGTTCTTGGGCCCAACTCAATCCCACAGATTCTGGCTTGGGATTGGGGAGGACAGCAACCTGGGTTAGAACAGGTTCTGTTTTGAGCATGTAAGAATGACAGCAGCAACTCCCAGAAAGAGGAAGAAAGCCTGGAAATGCTATGTTCACTATGGGCTAAAAAGCGACCATGAACATCACAGCCCAGGAGATACAGGGCAGATACAGTGGGGTTCTCCCCAGGGCTATAGCTCACTCACCCCTCAGGAAGTGTGATATACTTATGAGGAATGAGTCCCCTCACACCAGCATGCTCTCCTCGCCACCAATCACTCGATGCCCGAGCATACAGTTGTAGCACATCCCCTCGCTGAAATGTCAGTTCCTGGGCTGTGCGGCCAGTATAGGAAAAGCAGGCCACTGCCTCCACAGCTCCTTCTGAGTCTGTGGGGAAGAGAGGGTCTGGCTGAGGGTAGAGTGGCTACACAGGAAGAGGATGGGGTAGAGCCTCCCTGCTCCTTCCTCACCATCCTCCTGAGCTGTGGTACCAGCTTCCAACTCCAGCTCTGGCTCCCCAGTGAGGCTCTCTAACTGGCCGTCCCTGAGGTTTCAAGAAGAGTAAGGCAAACTTGCCTCCACCAGAATCCCTCTCCCCCAAGAAGCCCCCAAAGCATACCCCAGGCAGCTGGCAGAAGGTGGTGCCATGCACTTCTCATAAATGGGGCCTGGCAGCATGGCCAGGGTTGGGAAAACTCGTGCTGGGTGCAGGATAAGAGTCTGCACTAGCTGGTTCACCCTGCCCTGCAAGGCTACAGGGTCCTGCCCAGAAGGCACAGGCAACAGCGTGGGCCCAAAGCATACAGCCAGGTTGTAGGAGTCCATCATGTTCTCATCGCTGTACTGGGCCAGGCTGGGGAAAACACACAGGTCACTGGCAGGGAGCTCCAGCACTAGTGGAGTCCTCTACCCCCAACGGCCAATTGGCTCCCCAGTACTCACTGGTTGAGGAAGGTGAAGAGATATCGCAGGACCACTAGCACAGGTCTGGGCAGTTTGGACAGCAGATGGCTCACAGGCTCCACCCGGTCCCCCACGACTTCCAGTTCTGTGGCCAAGGCAGCCCAAGAGAACAGACTGAGTAAAGCTGTAGCCAATAGCACTCGTGGCTCTCCACCCAGCTGGTCTCAGGTCTCACCTGCTGAAGCCAGCAACTCATTAAACATATCCAAGGGGAAGAGTGGGGGCTCCAGGCTCCGGAAGTACAGCTTCAGGACTCCAGCCACTGAGTCTAGGTCATGAGTGGTACAGCCTTCTACCAGAGGGTCCTCCCCTGTGGAGGATAACATGGTAAAATGATGTTACCTGTGCCTGCTGAAGCCCCTGCCATCGTTGTCTATCAGTCCTCACCTCTTTCAAATGCATCTCGGATCTCCGAGATTCGGGCCTGGGCACCTGATACCCGGAAAATGCCTTCATGCTGCAGGCCTGTGGAGGACAAGGAGCTGAGAGGCAGAATCCCTTCCCCCACTAATCCCCAGTGCCAGGGTGGCAGAAGATAGGCTACACTTACCATTGAGGTTAATGAAGCGGATACAGCTCTCCACCACAGGTGGCACAGGTCGGCCTGAGCTCTGGGAACAGAGAACACATTCATTTCATGAGGACACAGCAAGTCCCCTGATCAGTCTATCACTTTTCTCCTAAGAGTGGTAGAGTGGAGTTTATTGGAATCTCTTTGAAGAAACTGATTTGCAGGTGCCGTTTATGTGGAGCTTTACCTTTTATTCACAAATGATTGCAACTGTAATAAGGCAATCAAAATTTGGATGTTGACCTTCAGTCAAAGAGCACTGCAAAACTTATTAATTTGTTCATTTAAATGTCTGAGTCTTACAAATGCTTTAGGTACATAGTGGCATATTTGCAAATGACATTTACTTTTCTTCCCTCCCCTTTGAGGCAGTGCCTCGTTTATTTCAGACTGGCCTAAAACTTGCTGTGTAGCTAAGGCTAGCCTTGATTGCCTGCTCCTCCACCCCCTAAGTGCTAGGATTAGGCGGCACCATCTGGCTCTTTCAGATATCTGCTGCATTCCTTTTTTTTTTTTCTGTTTAGAATTGCCAAGGTCATTTGGGCCAGAAGTATGGCCTATAAGTATCGTGTGCTGATCCTAATCACAGGGGATACCTCGCAACACCTCATCTCTAAATATGTTGCAGGCCTCGGTTTTCTGAGTTCCTTAAGAGTATGGTGGTGCACTCCTTTAACCCCAGTACTTGGGAGGCAGAGGCAGGCAGATCTCTGTGAGTTAGAGGCCACACTAGTCTATAGAGTAAGACTCTATCTCAAAAGAAGTGAAGACAAACTGCAATAACAAACAAACAGAGTTTTAATTAGTAGAGGCCACTAGGAAGCCCAGGGAGACCTCCACAAGGCTGGCTGGCAAGGGCCTACACAAGAAGGAACAGTTAATTGCACTCCACCCAGGAAGGTTAGGGCTAGAGAGCACTGGGATTAGGCAGTTCCTTGGGCCACCAAGGCTAGAGAGAAATCAGAAGGGACAAGAATGGTATCCAATGAGCTGGAGTGTGGGGCAAAGCAAGTACCTGAATGAACTTCTCCAGGTCACCTCCAAAAAGTCTCTGGTTACACTGGGAGCTAGGTTGGGGGTAGTGGCTCTTATGGAATTTTCTCTCTGTGCACTGGGTCCTGAGAAGAATGGGAACTGCCTCTTAGGGAACAAACCATGGAGAAGCCTCACCATCCCGAACCCATCCAGGCCACAAACCCTGAACTTCCAAAATTGTCTAGGACCCATTGGACAAATCTGGATGTTAGGGCCACAGGGTGCTGGTAGTAGAGCTAGAGCTGGGCAGGAAGAATAGGGAAGATGAGGACCTCTGATTAGGCTAGCACCTTATGAAATACTCACCAAGATGTCTCTTGCTCTTCCTTATTACCTGGGGAGGAGAAGGTATTGGTCTGTCTCTCAGGCTGGAAATCTTCAATAAATCCCAGAGAAAAGAGGCTTGGACTGAAAGCTCAGGATAGTCAAAAGACCAAGGGATAGGAGAGAAGCCAGTACCTATGCTGGGTTAGTTTGTGCATACCAAACAACATCTCTAGTCAGGGAAAAGCACAGGCCAGATCAGAGGGAGGAGGATGGGGCAGCGTTGGGGTCCAGAGACGGGATAGCTGGAGTAGGACTCACCTCGCTGAATGGCCTCTTGCAGCTTTTCATGCTTGGCCTGCAGCTTGGCAAGGATACTCCGGCCACTTAGATATTCCTGTAGCTTCTGGGAGACCCAAAGAGTACCTGGTTTGAACCTCAACTCAGCCCCTTTTCCCTCTGCTGCCCTTTGTGGCCCTGTTCCGCCTGTCCAACCCCACCGTAATATAGAAGGTCTCTGTCTCCTGCTGCTGGCTTCTTCTGCGGCCTGCCTGCCGGGTGCCTGGGTCTGAGCTTGTAGACTTGAGGGATTCAGTAGAGGGGCTAGCCTGCAACGAGTCCAGCATGTCCCCATCCTCTGATGCCACCACCTCTAGCAGAGCCTGAATTGTTGCCTTCAGTGTCTTATTCACCTGAGGGGACAGTGCCAGGGCATTAAGTAGAGGACAGTGTGAGAGGAAAGAAACCTAAATCTGCAGAAAGAGGGAAGCTACTGTCAGCTAGGAAGGAACAGTTAGGACTGCTGAAACTGAAAGAAAGCACTAGTGCCTGTCCCCACCCCAGGCTGGGCCATTCATGCCTCTTCTATCTCGATGGTCTTTTGGTCCAGGCGACTCTGGATGTTTTGAGCTCTGGGCAAAATCTCATCCCGAAGTTCCATCTCAACCTGGATCTCAGCCACCTGCAATGGGTAGTACCAGGGATTAAAGACTAGGTCAGGGCACAGAGCTCAGGTGAGGCAGTAAGGATAGGCCATCTCTGTTGCTTGTCCCCAACTCCTGATGACAATGCTTAGCATGATAGGCATTTGCCGCCATGGCAAGTTTAGGGATACCACTAAGTGCTTAGTGCATGCTAGGTAAGTACTTTACCAACTGAACTACAGTCTCAGCTGAGTATATAACTTGTACCTTCAGTAAGCTTCAAATACCAATACAAAGGAACACATAAAGTTTAAGCCATGTGAAAAAAAAGAAGCAGGGCAGTGGTGGCCCATGCCTTTAATCCCAGCAGTCAGGAGGCAGAGGCAGGTGGATTTTTGTTTGAGGTCATGCTAGTGTACAGAGCTAATTCCAGGACAGCCAAGGCTACAGAGGAAGGAAGAAGGAAGGAAGGAAGGAAGGAAGGAAGGAAGGAAGGAAGGAAGGAAGGAAGGAAGGAAGGAAG